TGGACTGAAGGGTCCCAGGTTTGATTCCGGTCAAGGGCATGTACCTTGGTTGCGGGCACATCCCCAGGAGGGGGTGTGCAGGAGAGGCAGCTGTGATGTTTCTCTCTCATGGATGTTTCTAACTTTCTATCTCTCTCCCTTCCTCTCTGTAAAAAATCAATAAAAAATATATTAAAAAAAAATTTTTTAAAGAAATTTTTGAAAGGACATTTAGCTTAATGTCGTACACCATTGGGCCCATTGGTTGTGCGTATTCTTGGCAGGGATTAGTGGTATTGGTGGTGTTCATATTTATAGGGAATGTTTCTACTGTTTATCTCCTGAACAGAGTTATAATGATGGTGATGAACAATGACCTGAATTTCTTAATAACACAGATGCTCTTGGGACCAATGGAGAAGGGATGCATTTATTTACATGCTGAGGTCTCTTCCCTTACATCTTGAAGAGTGTCAGACTTAGAAGACTGGCACTTAGTAGGTGCTCAGGAAGCATTTGTCTGACAAGATGAAATCTTGTCTCCTACTCTTCAGTGGCTCTCATTTCTCTTAAGATAAAATTCAGCCCTGGCTGGGTTGGCTCAGTGGATAGAGCGTCAGCCTGCAGACTGAAGTGTCCCGGGTTCGATTCCCATCAAGGGCACATGCCCAGGTCGCTGGCTCGATCCCCAGTGGAGGGGCGGGGGGAGCGTGCAGGAGTCAGTTCAACTGGTGTTCAGTTGGTGTTAACATCCCTTAATTGCCAGGAATAATAGCAAATATATTTTAATTGTAGACATTTAAGACAGCAAAAAAAATTTTAAAGAAAATTTTGAAAGGACATTTAGCTTAATGTCTTACACCATTGGGCCCATTGGTTGTGCGTATTCTTGGCAGGGATTAGTGATATTGGTGGTGATCAATGATTCTTTCTCATTATTGATCTTTCCATCTCTTTCTCCCGCTCCCTTCCTCTCTGAAATCAATAAAAATATATTTTTTAAAAAAGATAAAATTCAAACTCCTTATTTTACCTTATAAGGCCTTTCTTTAGTCATCTGATCTCTGCCTCCCTTTCCAGCTCCATTGTGCTATTCCTCTCCCTTCCCTCCAGCCTTATGGGCCTTCATCTGGTTTCCAGCACAGACTAGACTCTGTCCTTTTCGTTTTCACTGTCTAACTCCTATACTGCTGCCCATCCTCAGACCTCTAATTCATTATAAAATCCGTGGGCCATGTCTCTCTCTCTTCTTTTAATCCTTATCTGAGGATATTTTTTCCCATTGATTTTTAGAGAGTGGAAGGGAGAGAGGTGTGGGAAAGGAGAGAGAGAGAAACATTGATATGAGAGAGACACATTGATTGGTTGCATTCACATGCACCCCAATGGGGAGTCGGGTGGGGTGGGAGGAGGAAGGGAATGGTGATCAAACCTGCAGCCGAGGTACACCAGGAATTGAACCCGAGATCTCTCTAACCACTGAGCAAAACCGGTTAGGGAATGCCATGCCTTTTCTCTCTTGTTCATTGTTGTAGCTCTAGTGCCTAGAACACGGTTTTGGCACATAGTAGATGCTATTTTGTTAAGTCAGTGAAGTAAAGTTGAGGCAGAAAAGCTGAGGTCCTAAAGATACAACTAGCCAGTCCCCTGCTCATTTGGCTAAGTTTAAGATTGATATACTATTAAGACTTCTAGATGAGAAACGAAAAGGATTAAATAAAAACCTGATGGATTTGTAAAAATGTTAGTTATAATTGAAAGTATGATGCATAGAATATTGCAGATCAATTAATCCCAGTGCAATCAGATGTTTGGTTATATGGGGGCCCAGTTTGTGGGCAGATGACAAGGAGTTTTAAGTTTTATCCATTTAGGATTCAACATGGACTTTAACCCTTTTAAGTGCTTTTATCTTATATAGTATGGGTATGATAATCCTTTGAAATTGAAAAATCACAAATAAACATATTAATGCTTTATCTTGTATCTAAGCTTGAAATTTAGGTAAAAAAAATGGGTAAATGTAGGAAAACAATCAGTCCTCATTTGGGAAGGGGCAGATACAAGAAATCTTATACATTGCTAGGAACCTGGTTTCTGATTTTTAATTACAAAAGTATTTAGGTTAATGGCTTTGGAATTTTCAAATTTATGATAATAGCTATTCCTTTATGTCTTGAATATGCTTGTCTTATTTTTAATTTGAGAGGTAGTTTTTGACTAGGAAATGAGAAATTGTTTTATATTATACTTCTTCCAAGGATAGATGAGGAAGAAACACTTTCTGAAATTGGAAGTGCATATGGATAGTATAGAAAGTAAGTCTGTTATTCATAAATAGCTATATTTAATGCTCCATATTATAGGATGAAAGGTGGAAATAACCTTGTCTCTATTGCTAAACTTATTTTTCAATAAAAGCTTGAGCTTGACTAGTGTCAGGCCAGCACCCATAAGTTGCTTCATCTGAAAGGGACAGGTGGAATCTTTCATTGTGTAATGTGTGTGTGGGTGTGTGTGTGTGTGTGTGTGTGTGTGTTGTGTGTCTATGTCTTAGAGTCTGAATGTGTCTGAATGTGAGAGTGGGAGGAATGTGAAATGTTTTGACTTTGGTGTTGGTTTGATTTTCTGTTTTATTGTTGGCTTGGCATGCCTGGCTTTTTCATTTTGGCTTTCAGTATCCAGAAATCTTGAGATTTGTATGAATTAAAAGATTTGGATTTAATTTGAATTTCATTTGTCACTAAGGGTAAGAGGTACTTTTTTTGGTTGGCTTTATGTTTAAGATAATGTTTTTCCTTTATTACTTTTTTTGTTATAGAAAATTTAAACATACAAAAGTAGAGTGAATAGTATAATGGACCCCCATGAATAGAGGTAACTTTTTGATGGGACCTTTATATTTATGAAAAACATAAAGGTGATAAGGGCCCAAAGGATCCTCCCAAAACAACAACAACAAAGCAAAACAAAACATAAGTACAGGCTTTGGCTGACTTATCTGGATTTTAAAGCTTTTGGATGATTGTAATTTATTTTTGTTCAGATGTCTTATTGATCCAGTTACTGGAATTGAGTATTTCTTAATATGTAAAAAGGGAAGACAGTCTATGAAGACATGATTACTGTGATGTCTATTTTATTTCTTAAAATTTTTATTTATTGATTTGTGAGAGAGAGAGGAAAGAGAGATAGAGATTGACCTGTTCCACCCTTACACACACTCATTGGTTGATTCTTGTATGTGCCCTGACTAGGGATTGAACCCACAACGTTGGCATATCTGGATGATGCTCTAACCAACTGAGTTACCTGGCCAGGGCTACTGTGAGGTTTAAAGAAGAGAATCTTTGTCAGATATTTGTAAGTCTTTGTACTAGATAGGTAATTCAACAGATAAATGGCTCCGTCCCCTTTTACATTTCCTTATCACAGTGCTTAGTTGGAACAGAGAGAAAAGGGGAAGGAAAGACACTTCCTGCCAGTGTTAGCAATTCTGATGAATTGGTACATGGCAGAGCAGGATTGAAACAGTTAATTACAACACGTTTTTTTCCATTACCCTGTCCTTCTTGTGAACCCTGGAAATGTAGATCTGGAAGAACAAGGATCAGCATGTTTGCGAAGGATAAGCCCTCCCATGCTGTGGTGGTACCTCTAAGGCTGTGCTGAGCTGGAGGAGCAGGTGCTATAGCTAAGGATGCTGAAGGCTCCGAGGTGTCCTGGGAGCAGAGGATTATTGCTGGCGTGTGTACCACCTGTGTTCTTTTGGTTCCCTTGGGCTTTTTTTCAGAGGATAGATTGCTAATTTCTGTAGCTATTTATGCCAGCTTTGACCAAAGCCAAGTGCGAAGCTTGTAACAGAAAGAATGGCAAAATGCCTCTTTTAGGACTTGTTTTGGCATAGCTCTTATGGTGTATGTTTAGTAACATTCCCCAGTAGCCACAAATTAAACACTAATACCAGTTTAATTTGAGTATTGTTAGTTCTATTAATTTAATAGTTCTGTTATTAAAATAGCAAAACAGTCTGCATGGATTGAAATTATTGTTTTAGGTTGTGTATTGTATGTGTGAAAAACTGACTCTTCATTTGATACTTTTTTTTTTTAAATTCTCACCCAAGGATATTTTTCCGTTGATTTTTAGAGAGAGTGGAAGGGGGAGAGACAGAGAGAGAAACATTGATGTGAGAGAGAAAGATGAATTGGTTGCCTCCTGCATGCGCCCCGACCAGGCCCTGGGCCAGGGCCAGGAGCCTGCAACCGAGGTACGTGCTCTAGACTGGAATCAAAACCCAGACCCTTCAGTCCGTAAGCAGACGCTCTATCCACTGAGCCAAACTGGCTAGGGCTCATTGTGATACTTGAACAAACAGATTATTTATGTAAACTTGTGTCCTCAGAAATATCTTAGAATCATGTTTAATTGGGATCTAACAAATGTTGCCACCCTGTTCTGTTGAACAACATTTTAAAACTATAAATCAACTTTAAGAATGATAAAAGGAAATTAAATAATTTATTCATAATCTCTTAATCACAAGTGTTTTCTGTCTCATCCTTATACAGACAGATATTTGAAAAATTTGCATGTTAGGAATTGCTAAGCTGAGAGAACTGATTTTAGAAGGGTAGTAGTAACCTAGTGTTTGTGCTAGTATAACCTTTTACAGTTTCTTTGCTATTACATCTTTTCCTAGTTAATTCTGCTTGCCCACTAGAACTCCACATAATGCCTTGATATGAGGTTATTTTTGGCAAGAAATTCTTGAAAGGAAAGCTATAAAGAAAATGTACTTGCTGTTTTTACCAACATATGGAAAACTTGATGGGAAATTCTAGCCCCTTTGGTGACAAGTTGATTAAATCTCATTCCTAAATATTAACAAAATTAAATAGAATTTCCAAATTTCTTTAAATGTTCTAACAATGTGGCTACTTTAATATGAACGTATAATATTTGCTGTATCTCCTCTTTTGATTGGATTCTACAAAGTAGAATTAAAGGCTTTTTCAGAAACCTATTTGTACTTAGTGCTTATTTTTCCCCAGTCCGGTATTTTTTTGCCTGGTTTTCCCATTGTAAAGTATATCTATCAGTATATACCCATGCTCTTTAATTTTTAAAGTTTACTTATTTTTATCACCATGGGCTTGTGACTTTAATGCTATTATCATTATTTATGTTCATGCTCAGTTGTCCTGATTAGGCCAATAGGAACCCCTTTGCCCTGACATCTGTCCTTTTTACACATATCCATCATTCTTTAACATTTCCTTACTTCCTGACATAATAAGATGTTCTAGGCACATTTTGTGCTTTCCTTATTCCAGACCTGGAATCACCTATTTCTCCACAAAACTGATTCCTTTTAGTGGAGAACGGATATTTAGAAGTCAAGATCTGGGTGCCAGGTGCACTCATTGCTATTGGAGTGTTGTGGCTTCTAGGCTATCTCAGTGTATAGAGCTATGGAATATATGTGTGCATACACATGCACATATTGGCATCTATATTTAGTTCTACACACATCTATATATGGAAATTGTGAGTTCACACCAATACCTACTATTTAAATCCTACACCTCTGGGTTCATTCTAGCTTTCTTCCTTTCCATATTTATAACTCCTCTCTTTGACAGAGAGAATCCTAACTCCTATTTTCCTTAATATATTTGATCAATCCCTTGTTTGTAACCATGCTCCTCTATTCCCAGTCCCTTTTTGTACATTCTTCTCACCCCAAACATATTTCAGTTCTCTTTGCTGGGCTGTTCTTTCTCCTCACCCCTCTTGAGCTCCCACACCCTGCACCAGGCCATCTACAGCATGAGTGCCCTCCTTACTCCACATGGGCTCTGACACCCTGTACAAGGCTGCTCCTTCTTCCCTATGGGACACTCCTCTGAGCCCTGCTTGTACTCTGGTACCCCACCCTGACACCCTCCTCTTCCCTGCTGGATGCTCTCCTCACTCTCCTTGGCTGTAACACCTCATGCATTGCAGCCTTCCTCATCCTGCTGTGCGCAGACATCCCACTGTGGCCCATTGGGTCGTCCCTGGCTGTCCTTGGCACAGACACATGTTTTGGGAAGAAAAGGTGAAGGTGCAGGGGTTTTAGAAATCTTTTTGATTAGTAAATTCCCTTTTTTTGCGGGGGGGGGGAGGGCGTTGGGGGGATTATTTTTCCTAACCATGTCACCTAGTTTTGCATTCTGAAAATATAGTCACCATACCTTTCTGAAAATTTTTTTAGACTGCTTCTCTGTCTCTCGATGCACAGGATAATCTTGATTTCTTTCTATAAACTGCACATTTTTAGCTAACCAGACGGTGACAGAGTGAAACATTTAGCTCATGTGATTACGGTGAGTCTTTCTCCTCCTCTTCAATCTTTCCTATGACTTCGGTAGGGACTGTGGTGTGTGAGAAAGCCTGTTTCCCAGAAGTGACTAACACTGGTCAGTAGTTTCCGTTTCTGTTTCTCCCTTTCCACATCCTCAGTCCATCTTCCTGTCTCCCAACATGGCAGTGGCAGCAGGTGCTGCTTCCATTTGTTGAGCCGGTTCTATAGGTGTTTTGCATCTATTATCCTATTATTCATTAACCCCTAGCCCATTAACCCCTAGCCCTGAAATGTAGTGTTTACAGATGAGGAGACTAGGCTTGTAGAGCTAAATAATTTATTCAAGGTCACATAACTTGTGAGGGGTGTAATTTGAATACGAGCGCTTGCTTTTTTTTCTTTTTTCTAGAGCCTAAACTTTTTTTTCTTTTAATCTTTATTGTTGAAAGTATTACATAGGCGTTTCTTTTCCCCCCCATTAACCTCTTCCAGCCCGCTTCCCATCCTCCCCTAGAACCTAAACCAGCCGTGGGCAAACTACGGGCCCGCGGGACAGATCCGGCTCGTTTGAAATGAATAAAACTAAAAAAAAAAAAAAAAAAAGACCATACCCTTTTATGTAATGATGTTTACTTTGAATTTATATTAGTTCACACAAACACTCCATCCATGCTTTTGTTCCGGCCCTCCGGTCCAGTTTAAGTACCCATTGTGGCCCTCGAGTCAAAAAGTTTGCCCACACCTGGACTCATCTCTTGAATAAGCCTATGCTGCCTCTATAGGATCAGGGTACATGTGATTAGATCAAGTTTTTCACTCACTGTTTTTTATTCCTTTTCATTTAAGAAGAGGAAATAGAAACTCTTGAAAGTTATATAGTCAGGAAGAAAAATAGATGCTATTAGCTGCCTGGAAACAATGACCCTTAAATGACTATGTTACTGGATTAGGCTGTAAGGAGTGGTAGTAGGTATGAAGCCTGGATAAGTAGTGTTTTTTTGTTTTGTTTGTTTTTTCCTGATCTGGGGACAATTTCTGCCTTTATACAGAAAGGGCACTTTGAATTATGAGGATCAGAACTTTTCTAGCTTTTCTTTGGAAATGTGAAAAGTAAGGTCTTAAAGTGGACTTAAGCTCTCTGATGCTTTTTAAGAAAGAGCAGCTTAGACTTCTGCTGAGCTTACTTTATCAGCCTGTCTCAGGCCTGTTATTTTTGTGCGTGAATGGAGTGATGTGACTCCTTGTTAGGTTGAAAGCGGATGTCCGTCATGTGGTTTTGACATATTTTCTAGGTGCAAAGATTTTGTCCCCCTTCACATCAGCGCTCCCTTGTGTCTGGTGTTAGCTATTTGGGAGGGAGCTGTATGGAACTGGGGAACTTCCCCCAGGCTACTCCTTATGCAAAGAGGTGTTCTGTAGGCAAAGCTGCAGGCCTGTCTTGGAGTCACTGCTATGACCATGGAACTGAGATAATCATATCTGAGCATAAACACACTGTCAGCCTGGCTTTTGAAAGTAAGCTTGTTTCTTAATGATGTATAACTGTGAGATAGTAAGTATATCTGTATTCAATTCTCAGTCTCCTAGATATAAGAGGTATAGACTTTCTATCTATCACCTAGTGGTCCAGTGCATGGATCCGTGCACATTGAAAGGAAATTAATTAGAAAGAAAGATTTGTGTAGTAGTTACATTACTGCAAAAAATTGCATGTTAAAATAGTATAGATAATATAATATTATAAAATTAAAACACACATGTGATTGGCACCAGCGAGAGCTTTACATGTATTGCGCATGTGCGAGTCAATGTTTATTTTTAAATTGCCAGTGCACATCATATGTACCAGCCAGTTGGTCGGTCAGACAGTTGGATGGGCATACAGCCAGTCACTTAGCCTTTTATATATCTCTATCAGTCATCTGTGTTGTGTTCTGTTTAGGACAAAGGGAATTTGCCTGTACCTGGGGGATATAAACCTCAATGAGCTCTGGCTATGGCTGAAGTTTCTCAGTGGTTAGAGTGTCAGCCTGTGCATGAAAGGGTCTCGGGTTCCATTCCTGGTCAAGGGCACATATCTAGGTTGCAAGTTAATTCTGGCCGTGGTCGGGGTGCATGCAGAAGAGGCAACCAGTTGATGTGTCTCTCACATCGATGTTTCCCTCTCTTCCTCCTTCCCTTCCTTCTACTCTCTCTTAAAATCAATGGGAAAAAAATATCCTCAGGTTAGGATTAACAAAACAAAACAAAACAAGAAAAGAAAAAGAAATAAACTTCAATGAGCTCTGGGGCCACATCTTCTGAGCTCAGTCCCAGCTCTCTCTAATTTGTGACTCTGGGCAAGTTTCTGAGCCAATCTGTTCCTATATCAGGCTTTTCCTGAGATGGTAATAATTCCTTCTTCATAGTGAAGTGGTTAGCAAGGTCCCTGGCAATGGTGAGCATATCAAATAAATGATAGTTGCACTTGTGATTGATATTCTGCCTATTGGGAGACTGTAATCGTTGGTGTGCTTTCGGGACTAAGTCCATATCCTATCTAATAAAAGAGAAACATGGTAATTAGCGTACGACCGCTACCCTTCCCATTGGCTAATCAGGGCGATATGCAAATTAACTGCCAGCCAAGATGGTGGCCAGCAGCCAGGCAGCTGGAAGCTAACATGAGGCTTGCTTGCTTCAGTGATGGAGAACTCCAACATTCCCTGCCTGCTGCTGCCGGCCTCTGAGCTTGCAGTTTGAAACATTGTTACAAATATAGAAGCTAAACAAAACCCCAGAAACCTGCTTTCAGCCAGCCGGGATCTCAGAGGAAGTGAGTTGCCCCTGGGGAGGGAGGGAGCCAAGCTTTCCGCAAGCCTCCACTAAAGGCAACAAAGTTTCAATTATAGAAGCGCTAAAGCTGGCCCAGAATAAAAAAAAAGAAAAAAAGGAGCAGTTGGGAGCTTCAGTCACCCGCCAGCCTGAAAACGGCCTTCAGCCCTTCACCCAGACTGGCCAGGCACCCCAGTGGGGACCCCCACCCCCAAGGGTGTGTGACCAGCTGCAAACAGCCATCATCCCCTCACCCAGGCTGGCCAGGCACCCCAGTGGGGACCCCCACCCTGATCCAGGACACCTTTCACGGCAAACCAGCTGGCCATGCACCAGGCCTCTATCCTATATAGTCAAAGGGTAATATGCCTTCCGGCACCGGGATCAGCGTGACAGGGGGCAGCGCCCAAACCCCCTGATCAGCCCTGCTCTGTGCCTGATAGTGGGGAGCTCCCCAACCCCCTGATCACCCTGCGGCTCTGTGTGTGACAGGGTAGAGCCATAACCTCCTCATTGACCCTGCCCTGAATGTGACAGGGTGCGGCACCCCAATCCCCTGATCCGCCCTGCTCTGTGCGTGACAGGGTACGGAGCCCCAACCCCCCGGATGGGCCCAGCTCTGTGAGTGACGGGGTGGCGTCGCAACCTCCCCATCGACCTTGCCTTGAGTGTGACAGGGGATGGTGCCCCAACCCCCCAATCAGCCCTACCCTGAACGTGACTGAGGGTGGCGTCGCAACCTCCCCATCAACCCTGCCTTGAGTGTGACAGGGGATGGTGCCCCAACCCCCCAATCAGCCCTACCCTGAACGTGACTGAGGGTGGCATCACAACCTCCTGTTCACCCTGCTCTGTGCATGACAGGGGCGGCGCCCCAACTCTCCCAATCGGCCCTGCTCTGAGCCTGACCAGGTGCTGCACCTAGGGATTGGGCCTGCCCTCTGCCACCCGGGAGCAGGCCTAAGCCAGCAGGTCGTTATTTCCCGAGGGGTCCCAGACTGCGAGAGGGCACAGGCCGGGCTGAGGGACCCCTCCCCCCCCCTGAGTGCACAAATTATTGTGCACCGGGCCTCTAGTATAGAATATAACAGGATCTGAAGAATTACAACATAAAAGAGTGGAAGAGGATAATCAAGATTACTGGAACAACTTCTGTGTTTTACAGATAGGGAAATGGAAACTTAGAGGTGGTAAAGGATTTACTCAGTCTTCCAGGCAATATCAAGACTAGAAATGATTCCCAGTGAGCTATTAAACCAAGGATTTTCATAAAGATGGCACTGGGTAATGATAGTGATGATGTTGATGATGACGATGATGACATCAGGATTTTTTTTTTTGATTGGCGGTGAGGCAGAGAGAGGTTTGTGTATAAATAGAAAAAGCACACTCAACATACTTATTGGTTTTGTAATGCAGACTACAGTGAATAAGTTAAAAAAACCCACAAAACTTGGCAGATGGGAATACACTGAAGATAATGAGAAAGCATGATTATAAGGAGCTTGGGTTAAAACAGTTCAATTATTTACTGTCTGTTATCCTTACAAACATGTGGTAAGTGGAATTTCAGGTATTTTGTTGCTGAAAAAACCAGGTTCTATGTATCATTGAGCAGCAAGATTAAAATAGGTACAAAGGGCTTTGTAGCTCCTTAATCAGAGTATGATGGGGATCATTACAGGATGGAATGGCTAGCATTTTGGTCCCCCCCCCCCCATGGTAGTTTTTATTTATTTTGAATTATAAATATAATATATTTAATGTATGAAATTTGGAAAATACAGCAAAGCATAAAGAAAATAAAGACAGCCTAAATCTCATAACCCCCCCAAACAATTAATTCATTATTAACATTTGGGTGCTATTTCTTTCTTGGTATATGAAAATTTTCAGAAACATAATTGAGCTCAAATTATATGTACAGTCTTATATGCCACCTTACAATGTTAAAAGTATATTCTAGAGCAGCGGTCGCCAACTGGTGGTCCGTGGACCACTGGTGGTCTGTGAGGTCTGGAAGGTTAGTGGCTGCTGTTCTAGAGGCAGAATGGCTATCAGGTTTTCAGTCCTATAAGAGAATGTGGACTTGGCCATATGCCATAGAAGGGCATTCTTTTGTGTGTATTTTATGTAGTAGTAATGTCTAAAGCAGGCTGATTGTGCTGCACCTTAGTTTTTATCAGAATGACTCATTTTCCCATCAATAGGTAGTCTCAGAAATGAAAATAATAAGTTACTTGATCCTCAAGGAAGTTTTGCCTGGTTCAACAAGCACCATTTGATCACATAAAACTCTTCTCTGCTTAATAATATTCTTGAACCAGTGTACAGGCACAATCTGCTCATTTATGTTAAATTAACTGGTTGCCAGATAAAGCCAGGTAACTACACTTCACAGCTGAGAGAGCAATCCATTTTTGCCAAGAAAGATTTGGTTTGGTCATATGCAGAAAGGAAAGCCAAATATTTAAGGAATATATAGTATAGATAAAATTGAAATCCAAATATGAGGATTCTTCGTTATTTTTCTAAGATTGACTACTTCACACCATAGACTTAAAGATTGTTTAAAATACAGCTTTGAAAAATAGTGGGTTAAAAATAGCACTTGTTCTTGGAGGGGGAAATGAGTATGGGGATTGACTGGGAATGGGCTTGAGGAAACGTGCAAGGGTGATGGGAGTGTTTCTCATCTTGATAGGGATTTGGGCTACACAGGTGTGTGCATTCTTCAAAACTCAGCAAATGTACACTTACTCATTTTATGAAATTTTACACCAAAAGTTAAAAATGTATCCAAATATTGATCTCTTATTAATGATGTGTACTTAGATCTCTGTAATTTACTTGGAAATGCATGAAAAAATAAGATGAATTGATGAATAGATAAATGGATATATTTGTGATAAGAAAGTTAAGAGTATATGGGTGTTCACTAAAATTCTTTCTATGTTTGAAAATTTTTATAATAAAATGTTGGTTAAAAGGATGTTATACATTAGTACCTTTAAGGTTCTAGTTACAATTATTGGGCAGAAATGGAGCCATTTGAATCTGACACTGCCTTGGTCATTTTACCTTTGAGATTGCTCAAGAGAGCTAAGAATTGTTGGATTTTTATCTTTACTATGTTGAGGATCTCTTCATTTCTTATTGAGTCCAAAGATTATTTTTGTGATTATTGTACTGTCCTGGAAATGACCAGGTGGCATAAAGCTTATATTATCATCAAATCGGTAGCACTTGTGTTCATTTCTATGTAGAAGATTCATGGATACATAAACACTATTTTGCCAAGACACTTTCCAAGGTTGGCACTCAGTACAAATCTATACCTTTCTGTTCACCTCCCTTACTCTCCATATTTTAGTCTCGATATTTTCTATTGTCCTGTCTTCTAGTTCACTAATTCTCCTTTTTTGCTGTGTCTAATCCAGTAGTAAATTCATCTATTAAATTAATTGCAATTATTGTATTTCTCAGTTCTAGAATTTTTATTTGATACTTTTTCTAGATTCCAGTTTTATGGTGAAGTTCTCCATACCCCCGCCCCCATCTTTTTCTTTATTTTTTTCCTTTTATTTTCCTGAATGTAGTTATTTTAAAGCTCGTGAATAATGGCTCCAATATCCATATCACCTGTGGATCTTTCCCTGTTGTCTGGTTCTTTTGATATTCAGTCATTTGGTCCCATCTCTTGGCATGCCTGATAATATTGATTGAAAACTGGAAGTTGTGTATAAAAAATTGTAGCAGCTGTAGATCATTTTAGCCTCCTCTAAAGAAGGCTCACTCCATTTACTAGGCAAATAGAATGAGGACTGGTTCCATTTATCCTATCAGGGATTGAGTTGACCAAAGCTAGCGTGTGGTTTTGGTAAGGACCCATTTACTTCTGGTTTCCCTGTCTTCTTAGGGAGCAGCCCTCCAGGAGTTCCCGCTGAGAACCTTAGTTGTTCATCGAGACCCTTCTCCCATGATGTGTCTTGAGCTTTAATCTTCGTTTCCTCAGCACTGGGGGTGGATGAAAACTCTTCTGCTCTTCAGAGGCTTTGTTTGGTCCTTAGTCTCCTGACCTATGCAGCTTTCGGATTTACAAATCTCTAAAGGGGAAAACTTCAAATCTTTTCACAGGGATCCTGGTCCCTTAAGTCTCTATTTTTGTTTCTTCAGACCTGAGATACTGCCAAAAGTTCTGTTGTTTTCTCTGCCTTTTAGTAGTGGCTCCAGCCCTGTGCCCAAAGTGTTTGGCTGCTTCCTCAGACTTGTTCTTGGTACCCAGAATTAGGAAGTGTTTTGAGGGACAAACCAACTGCAGTAAGTTGGCTCACTTCCAAGGGGGTTCATCCTTCTCCAGGATTTTGTTCCCTTAACTCCTTGTACGCTCAAAAACTCTCCAAAGTCTTCAGTCTCTCTCTCTCTCTCTCTCTCTCTCTCTCTCTCTCTCACACACACACACACACACACACACACACACATTTTACCTGGCTTTTCTGGTTATTCTGTGAGGGATCCCATGTCTACAGCAAGGTATTTATTTAGTCATAGTCAGAAGCAGAAGCTGCTTTTACATAAATCCTGCTCATGTGTTTTATTCTTTATGTCGTAGAAAAGATGTTAATCTGTGCTCGTATATTAAGGAAGACGTTTCCAATTTAAAAGGAATTAAAAAGAAATATCTGTTTAATAATCTAAACGTGAACCAAACAGGCCCGATCAGCGTGGCTCAGTGGTTGAGCGTTGACCTATGAACCAGGAGGTCATGGTCCGATTCCTGGTCAGGGCACATGCCCGGGTTACTGGCTCAATCCCCAGTGGTGGGCGTGCAGGACGCAGCCGATCAATGATTCTCTGTCATCATTGATGCTTCCATTTCTCTCTCTCTCTCTCGCTCCCTCTCTCTCTCTCGCTCTCTCCCTCCCTTCTTCTCTGAAATCAATTAAAAAATATATAAAAAAAGAACCAGCCATTACACGCTTTATTAATACAATACAACTATATTTTCTGTCTAACAATATCAGTGGTAAGTATTAGCATAAAAAAGTTAAATGGTTTAAACATGGGTTTCTCAGTCCCAGCACTAATGACATTTTGGGCTGGATAATTCTTTGTTGGGGCTGTCCTGTGTAGTGTAGAGTGTTTGGTAGCATCTCTAGCCTTTTACCTACTAGATCCAGTTGCTCCCTCTCCCCCAGCTTGTGATAACCAAAAATGTCTCTAGATATTGCTAACTGTGTGCTAGGGAGCAAAATGACCCCTGGTTGAGAACTGCTGGTCTCATTTGATATATCTTACCAGAGACGCAGGATTGAGTTCTGAGTTACTGAAGTCATCGTCTTTCTTTCCTAACTGATCACTTGATGCCAGATTTGGGGGTCCTAAAATGGTTCTAAGAATAAATGGAGTGTTGCACCATTAGCTTGCCTGCAGTGATTTGGGAGCTTGTGCCACATGTTTACGTGTTCTAGGATTGAGAAAACGTACTCTTAATTCTAGGTGATATGAACTGTTCCAGGTCATGTGCAGTATCTCCTTGGGCTTCTGCAGAGCAGTATTGTTGCAGTCTGTATTCATTGTGATCTAACACATGTACAGTCTTTAAGCTGACAGGAGCAAATTAACACAAGAGAAGTCTACTCAGAATGTAAATAACCATTTGAAATTTAAGGTAGAAAGGACATAAAGAAGTCAGAATTAGGCCTAAAACTAAGGGTTAAAAGAGAAAAATACCACTTAGAATAACAGTGACTCAGAAGGGACATTTCTGAATGGCATGACACTGTCAAAAACCATTTAAGCTGTTTGCTACTCTTTCTTTTATTCTGTGGACATTTTCCTGTTTTCCAAATCATTCTGCTTTGATGCCAAGTCTTTTATTAATAATGCACGGCCTTTTTATGGTACTCGCTTCCCATCATGCCTTTTAGGTGCTGAGTCAGAGAAGATTGTTATAGCAGCAGCTCAGCACTAAGAGGAGAGATCCCTCTGCAATGCTCATGCTGCCATTTTTCTTGCACATATATCTCGTAGCAAACATTTCACCTTGATTACTGTAAAGCTTCAATTCAGAGGATGCTTTATTCTTACTTCTGAGGAATAAAGCTTTAAAAACTATCCAGAAATGTCTATGACATGAGTTGTTTGAGAGCTCTTAAAGGTGGGGTCTGAAAAAAGAAAAAAGTTCTGAATGTTAGTGTGAATTGCATTCCATCTCTGGGATAGTAGCTGTCCCTCCTCTCCCCGCCCCCCACCCCCCATTCTAGCTGTTGTCTGTTGTGAGTCCCTGCTTTTCTATTTTGTACAATTTAAACTGGTATTTTCACATAACCTTTATGATAGGCAGCTGCTAGGAGTCAGATAGATATGAAGGAGTGGGATAAGAGATTGATTGATTGTTGGGTGAGCACTGGGATCCAGGCTTGGAGCCAGCATTTTCCTTC